CCGAAGGTCGGTTATCCGAAGGAATTCCAGTCGATAAATTTAAATTTTTGCAAGTGCTGTGGCGCTTCAATCTTTGGCTATGTGTTGGGCTACTCAAATATTTTACGTTTTTGATACTAAATTAACTTCTGAAGTATAATTTTTTATTGTTTTTATATTTTTCAATATATTTATTTTGTTCGTACAAAATAAAAAAATAATTTTTAAAGATACAATAGTCTTCGTTAGGCTTAACATCGATGAAAATTCAATGCGAAGCGACACGCAACGGAGAAAAATTTCAACACGGGATAAATTAATATATTTTTTGTGCATAATTGGTTATCCGAAAAATAAGTTATCCGAACAACTCCGGTCCCCAATTGATTCGGATAAACGACACTCTACTGTAATTTTGTATCCTGAGGTACCACTGTAAATAAAAGCAACAGGTGACATCTTGTGAGAAAACCTATCAAGTTTTACAGAGATGTTTGTTTTTTGTTCTGCAAGATGAAGCAGAAGTCAAATTGTGGGCATTATAGTCCAATCGTAGTTTCGCCACAGGAGAAAGCACAGGTGGTCTAATATGTTCTTATAGCATGACTACTAAGATCTCCTAATCTGATCTCTTTGCATTTCTCTCTGTGGTGTTACATGAAAGGTATCATTTATGCAACTTTGGTCAGAGACCTTCAGGATCTTTGGAAGAGCATTATTGCAGCCATCACCACTATGAGACAGGTCATGCTGCAGCATACATCACAGGAAATTGCTACTGCCTTGATATCATGTGACTGTTGGAACACACAGAGATATGGTGATTTTTTCAATAAAATTTGAAGAATTTTTCTCCCGTATAAAATTTTTGATTGAACTTATGACTTTAACTGTTAATTTTTTACAGCTAAATCAAATTGGTTACTTTTGAGTGGAACACCCTGTATACATAATAAATTAGATTGTTTTTACAATAAGAGCATTTATTTATTGTGACATTGTCACAATGCCAAGCTGCAATTTTTAATCATGTTTTTAATTTAATTTAAACTATATGCTCTCTACCTCAAATTATTAGTAGTGTCTTGCCCCTGTACATCATTCTTTTCCTTTAACAATAGAGTCACACCAGTCATTTATTAACTGCTTTCAGGGGAAAAGTATTGAATTGAAATAACGTGACTTCCAGTTTGCATTGGATGTTTGTATATGCAGTAGTTAATTGGGCCTCCTGTCCCAAATGTTTCCATATCTGGTCTTGTATTTCATCTAACTTCATTCTCGAGATTAAGACAGACAGACGGTCGACAGTGGGAATTTATAGATCTACAATTGTTTCAAATTGCAACCTAATAACATATGTATACAATAATAATGATATAAAATTTTTAAGAAAGTGTTATGTATTAGTGCATTAGCGCAAGGAAAGAGGAGGAGAGAGTTAGTTTTAGTCAGTGTAAAGTGTAATTAATAAAGGAAAGTAAATAGGGCACATATAGTATACATTTTGGCAATTAATAAATATTTTAATCATTTCCAATTTTTGGGTAACCTAAAAACAATAAATCCAAAATAAACGAATCCGAACGAATATTTGAATTTGTTCCAAATTTGAAATATGATGTTTCAAACAACTTTTTTTAGATTTAGAATTTAAAATTAATCATTTTATTCAAGTAAGATTATCAACAAGTCAGTTAATTTTCCATTANTGTTAGAAACTCAACATCACCTTAACACTGAAGGTGAAATCAACACTAAATCCAGAACCTGTTACCAGTGTAAATCGTGAGAAAACCTTTCTTCACAAATGTTCTCGAACTTTTTAAGATAGTTCTTCCTCAGGTAAAACTGATGGAATGCTTCAAAAAATAGAATGTACAGATTTTTTTTATATAATACAATGATTTTAATCATAAACTCAACATCACCTTAACACCGGGGGTAAAATCAACACTAAATCTGGAACCTGTTACTGGTGTAAATCGTGAGAAAACCTTTCTTCACAAACTTTTTCAAACTTTTTAAAATAGTTCTTTCTCAGGTAAAACTGATGGAATGCTTCAAAAAATAGAATGTAAAGATTTAAAATAAAATCGAATTCTTGTTTAATGAAACCCATTGTGATGGGCATGCACACTCGTGCGTGGATAGGGGTATTTAAAGGCTGCCGTCTATAAGGCCCTACTACAGATATGCTACAGATAGATTTTTATCTTTCCATTTGATACAGGTGGTCATGTGGCTAGCCCTGTAGATGGGTAAGGCTTCCAGCCATTTTAGATGTTCTGGGTGAAGTGTAGTGACAATGATGTCGGCCTTGTCAACTTCTGCCTCGATGTTCAGATCAGACTCATAGGTGGCCAGGGCAGTGGTGTGTTGCCCATGTCAAAGGTCCGTTTTGTGCTCACGTATTCTAGTATTTAAGGAGCGCTTGGTGGAACCAATATATATGGCATTTCCTGTTCTGAAGTCTTAAAACTGGAATGAAAAGAACAGTTTTGAATTGTGCTACAGATTTATTTCCTTCAAGTATCGGTGGCATATTGTACAGAAGTTATTGTGATAAGTTTTGGGAAAACAGCACTTATATAGTTGCTGAAATAATAATCTGATACAATTCCAAAAAAGAAGCTAAATGAAGAATACATAGAAAATATTAGATGATTTTACATTTTCAACTTCAAAACTTCAATATTTAAATGTATTCAAGGTGTTAAGATGTATTTATTGTTGAGAGTGACCTCATTTGGAGATATATTTAAAAAAATTTTTTTCCTCTGTGGCCACTAAGAGGATCTTTTTTTGTTTTTCCTTACTCATTGAGTGGTGAGAGATGGAGCCTTAACTTGGACAGACTGCCCTGAAAAATTTCTGGGGCATTTTGCCAGGATTCAATCCTTGGTCCTCACAACAGTAGGCTGATGTTGAAGCCATCATGGCCACCTGACTATTATTTACTTACAGCTGACTTTTTTAACCATTACAAGAAAAGGTTGTTTTATTTTTAACAGAAAATTCTCTCAAAGCAATTGTTTTTGTTGTTTTGGTATTCAGTTACTTTACTCTTTCAAAGAGATTTATAGAAACAACATATCTCAGTTAAATGAAATTATGTTAAAATATTAAGTTGCTAATAAAATTTTTAAATGATAAAAAAAAAGATTCTTTGGGAAAGATTTCTTGTATTTATTCTAAATATTATATTAAATACCAATTAAGAATTATATTTGATAAAATTTTTATTTGAAAAAATGTGTGAAAAGGATACAAAAAGAAAGATTAATTAAAAAGTAAACACAAGATAATAAGTTGGGAAAATTTATTTTGCAATGATTTTTTTTTCAATAAAAACATATTTATGATATGATTATGCCATTCCTATTGGTAAAAGCAACAATTAAAATGAATCATAAAATGAAATTGTGATATAGTCTTAATTGTTTAACAATTGCAAATATTATCTCTGTACAAATGTAATCAAAATTTTCATATTAAATTTAAATTTCTGAGTGTAATTTGTTAAATTAAATTTGATTTTCAATATTTATTATAAAATTTCTGTGTTTTGTAACAGTAGAATACTAATTTTGATTTTTATCACTTTCAATATGTGTGTACAATATGATTGAGGCATATTCTGAAAAAAAGACTGAATGGTTATAAAAATCAGGGCTGTGGAGACTGAGTCAGAAGGAATTTCTGGCTAGAGGAGTCGGAGTCGGAAAAAATGAGTCAACTGCAACTCTGGCATTTTAAATTTAATTTAGTTTTTTTATTCAGATAAAAGAAACTTTATTTTATATTTATTAATTTTTAAAAATTTTTTTGTATTTTGTTATAATTCATTTATTTTAAATACAAAATGCAGCAATTTAATTTATTAAATATGTAGTTTTCTTTGTAGTATTTGTGTTTAATAGTTAAATTATTTTGACCCAATTGAATTTGAATATTTTTGAATTATTCCTTTATTATTCCTGCTGTAAGTACTCTGTTTTTCTGAATGAGCCAGACTAATTGNTATATTTGTACATTATTAAAGATAACATTTCTAAATAAAATTTAAAAAATGTATTATTGAAATCTAAAAAAACAATAAAGTGCACTATTAATAATCTGAATGCTACCTAACCCAAATTAATTTTGCTTGCTTTGTAGCTAAATGTTCTAACTAAAAATAAAAAGAATTCAGTTTATTTTTAAAAAATGTAGAATTTATAAAATTAATATGTATTACACAACATAAATATATGTACAGTATTACATAAAGTATAAAAAAATTTTAAAATACATATTTATTTGTCAGTAGTTCTTTTTGATTTCCATTTTCCTGTCTTATTCCCAATAATCTGAAGTTTTTCTTAATCCATGCAACCCTATATGTGTGTACCTGTGATGAGAGTATTTAGGAGTAATAAATTAGTTAATAAGACCTAAACTGAACAAAGCATAATTAACTCTGTTATATCTGGTAGATCACTTTTGTTTTTTACATATCTCATATTAGTAGATAGCATGAATTTTATAATGTACAGGTAACCCCCGTATAACACGGCACTTCTATAGCACGGATTCGCTCTAACACGGTTCGAGAATTGGTACCATCCCCCGTATAACATGGGCAGATCAACTTTGCTTGAAGTTTTTTGCCTTTGGTGAATATGAATGCATCACTGCTGTTTGGACAAGGCCATTTTGAATAAACTTGTATTTTCAAAAACTGTTATTCACTGTTAGAAGTGTTTTATTTGCATTATTAAATTAACTGCAGTGGATAGTTGGACTTTATAGTATTGTTTACTACAATATTATAAACAATATGTATATTTTAAAAGACAGTTTTATCTCAATACTACAGAGTGTGCACAATGTATTTTATGTTATATTTACAAGATGTCTTAATTATAAACATGTAATATTAGATTTTGAAAAATATACATATTTTTATAAATATTATACTTTGTAGCATTATATTTACAAGATTCTAATCAAATTGAATTTTTTTTTCTATTAAGATTAACCATATGATGGCCTTTATTGAGAGAGAGGCTGATGAAAAGGCTGAAGAAATTGATACTAAGGTGAGAAAATTATTTATTGTTTTATAAATGCATATAATGTTGTTATAAACTTTCAATTCTTTGTTTCAGGCTGATGAAGAATTCACTCTTGAAAAGGGTAGATTAGTTCAAGAACAAAGATTAAAAATAATAGAATTTTATGATCGAAAGGAGAAACAGGTGGAAATGCAAAAGAAAATGTATGATTACTTTCATTTTTTTTAACTTTAAAATCATAAAGTCTCATTAAATCTCTCTGGTGCCCAGTGACAAATTTCACAGGTAAACAAATGTTTTCAGACACCTTCTGAGCTCTGCTTCAGGTTTTTGCATTCTATGAATGGAACATGGAAGTCTTTGAAATTTGTCATTGAGCACCATTGAGGTTTAATGAGTAAGTCCAGTGTGAAGGTGAAAGAACTATCATAAAATATTGGACTTAATATCAAAATTGTTCAGATTTAATTTATTTCATATAGTTTTTATTCTGTTTGCTCTTCTATTAGGTACATATTATTCCACTAAATTGATTTTTAATTTATATTTTTATTAGAATTTTCTTGTTGTAGCTTTAATAATGTAAATACAACTGCTGTGTAACCTCAGGCCAAATATTGGCTATAATATTTATAAATTACTGATAAATTTGACCCTAGAGGAAAGAGTTTCATCTTGTAATAAATTTAATAATTATGAGGGTGTTTCAATAAGTAATGCCTTTTATTTTTTTAAACAAACATTTTAATGTATACACAAAAATGTGAATATAGTAAATGAATTTTGAATTTATGCCAACACTATTGCATGATAGGAACACTTGTGTTGCCTGTTGGACATTTCTGACAAATGGAAAAAAACTTAGTGTGCATGCTATCATTGTCCACGCTTCAAGAGCAGTGAAGTGTTGTTTGTTTTCTATGGGCAGGGAGCAAGAAATGTGAAGAAATTCATGCAGAAATGCAGAAAGTGTACGGTGACGGTTGCATAGTGCTAAATGTTTAAAAATGGTCATCAGTATGTGATTGATGAGCACAGGTTAGGTCGTCGGTAAGTGGAATTTTCCCTCAAGCAGTCGCTGCTGTTGATCAAACAATTCAAAGCAACTGCTGTATTTGCTTGAAGACGCTGTTGGAAAAATTGCTTAGTGTCCTATTTGGTCCTTTGAAGAAATTCCTGGCTCGAGAGATGTTCCATTCCGATGAGGAAGTTAAATTGGCTGTTCGCAAATGGTTATATGGTCAGGAACTGGCATTCTATAATGCAGGCATCTTTAAACAGATACACTGCTGGGTCAAATACTTGAACCTGAATGTTTCCTATGTTGAGAAGTAGTCTAATCCACGTATTTCATTTCATATATTCTGTATTTTCCATATACATTAAAACTTTTGCTTAAAAAAATAAAAGGTGTTACTTATTGAAACTTTATTATAATTTTAGATTTAACTGGAAGTAAAGCATTTACCCTGAGCAGGATTCGAACCTGCAACTCCTGCTTGCATTGCAGATGCATTGCCAATTACACTACCCAGACCTCTGGTCCGATCGCCTCTTATATTATATTTAAGATTACGATATAACCATCATTGGTTATTACAGTGCTGACTGGGAATGCATTCAGCACCCACAGCACTGTAAAAAAATATCAGCTATAACACTTATAAATATTATAGCTGCTGTTTAGCCCAATGTTATATGGCAGTAGTTGTAGCTTTATTGTAATATTGGGTTTTGTAAGTTGTTTATATTTGTACATTATTAAAGATAACATTTCTAAATAAAATTTAAAAAATGTATTATTGAAATCTAAAAAAACAATAAAGTGCACTATTAATAATCTGAATGCTACCTAACCCAAATTAATTTTGCTTGCTTTGTAGCTAAATGTTCTAACTAAAAATAAAAAGAATTCAGTTTATTTTTAAAAAATGTAAAATTTATAAAATTAATATGTATTACACAATATAAATATATGTACAGTATTACATAAAGTATAAAAAAATTTTAAAATACATATTTATTTGTCAGTAGTTCTTTTTGATTTCCATTTTCCTGTCTTATTCCCAATAATCTGAAGTTTTTCTTAATCCATGCAACCCTATATGTGTGTACCTGTGATGAGAGTATTTAGGAGTAATAAATTAGTTAATAAGACCTAAACTGAACAAAGCATAATTAACTCTGTTATATCTGGTAGATCACTTTTGTTTTTTACATATCTCATATTAGTAGATAGCATGAATTTTATAATGTACAGGTAACCCCCGTATAACACGGCACTTCTATAGCACGGATTCGCTCTAACACGGTTCGAGAATTGGTACCATCCCCCGTATAACATGGTACTTTTAAAGCACGGATTCACTCTGACACGGTTCGAGAATTGGGTAAAACCCTCGTACAACAGGAAATGTAATAAATTTTTACATACTTAACTAATAATAGTTCACGAAAATTATTATTTTCGTGAACTATTAGTACTTAAGTATGTAAATTTTCTCTTCTCGCCTTCTGTCGATACACGTGGTCCTTCTCGAAACTTGTTTCAATGTTGCCAGATCGCGACGCTTCTGCTTCTGATGTTGCCGAATGTTTTTCCCTTATTCCATACTTGCTTTATTCTTCATAAGTGCTTAGCACCATATAAGGAAATTTATAAAGACCTTTTAACTAGAAGCAAGCAATCTAAAATTACATACATTTTGCAAAAGGTAAAGCATGGATCTGAAGATAATGCAGAAAAATGCTCAGAGGATAAGGATAACTTGCCAAAAAGAAAACGCTCTCGGTTAATTAATAGTGTTTTTAGTGATGACGAAGAAAACATTGTTTAATTTATATTAATATGTATCACTTAAAAAAATTTTAATGAAGATATTTATCTTAATTATGAAAATATACTAGCATGTTTTTTAATTTTTGGAACCTAACCCTCCTTTTCGTATTAGTTCTTTGTTTCGTATAACATGGATTCGCATAACACGGCAATTTTTTGGAACGTAACTACCATGTTATACAGGGGTTACCTGTATTTTCATAAAATATATGAAATCATATAGTTAATATTCCAGTTGATATGCAGTAAATACAATGAATTAAAGCTGACAAATTCATTTGAATCATCACCAATATGCAGAGATTTGTTATTCTTGATGGAATTCTAGAATGATGTCCTGTGATTTCACAGAACTTGTATGAATGACTGTTTTCATCCATTTTTTCATGATTGCTAGTATTAATATAATTTTTTTTCTGATTCAATACAGAATAAATTTTTTATTTGCTTTCTGGCTCCCAAAATTTTGGTTTTTATCTTATAAAAACAATAGTATAATAACTATTGACATAAATGTTCTTATATTGTCTTGATATATGCAATGCATCTGATAAATAATAAACAGTGCAAATAAAGCTAAATATTTTTTGTTAATACCTCATATGTACAACTTTTTGGCATGGACTATATTGAATGTAAATTAATGAAAGTTTTCCTAAAGTCATTGATGGAAACTTGTTGATAGCTAATAATTAAAGATGTAGTGATGTCATTGCTGACTTTGTTTAAGAAAACTATTCATTGAGCTCATTATGTCTTAGACATGCTGAGTTTGATGACCAGTTGATGAGATACATCATCATCACTTATACTGGGGATGGGCAACCTGTGGCCCGTGTCACATAAAATATGTATAAATATATCAATTTCCCAGCTTAAGGAAGTATGCAGAAAAAATTAAAATGTTATTTTCTACAACTTATGTATGTGAATAGTTTCTCCCACAATGAATTTACTAAAAATTAAAACAAGAAACATCTAACAGACTTGCATCGAAACTAATTTAAAACTGGCTATTATTTAACCAAATATTTCCGATATATTATGTTTACGTCAGTTCCAGAAGCTAAATTAAGTATATCTATTTTAATTTATCACTATATATGAATAAATAATTGTGATTTACTGGCATTTTTTTTTCTCTTATCTTGTATAAGTTCAAAAGTTTTGAAATGCGGCCCTTACATAGTCAGGGATGAGCAACCTTTTTCTTATACAGTGTAACCTTGAGAAATGTCTTCAGAGAAAAAGATGACTAGGAAAACTCTTGTTTTAAAATCATATCAATATATTTCCTTGTAAAATACCTTAATTTTCTAGGAATCATCACAGCCACAAAGGTTGAATTCCTAGAAAAGTGATGTAATTTGACTGGTTATATATTGATATTAGAGATAAGGAATAAAAGCATAGTATAGATTACAGATCTTTTTGTTTTATTTTTATGAAGATGTATATAGTATTGTAAATTGTATTGTAATATTTTATCTTATTATTTGAAGTATAAAAAAAATGAAGAAAAAATTATAAGATGCACAGTATGGGAGTAAAAAAAATTAATTTATGTTCAAAATCATAAATGATATTACAGTTATATGTAATAACAACAACATTGATTTAAATTAAGTTTGATAGTAACATTCCATTGTTTATAGAATTTGAATTGGAAAATGAAAATGTTCCATTTTAATACTAAGAAGTGATTATATAATAAGTTTAAATTTTAATACTGTGTTAATTTAATATTTTTTTATTTTAATTTATTATTATTTTTGTTTCCAATTTTTTTTTGCTTGAATTTACATATATTGTTATTAACTGCAGTCAGAGTTCTAATATGATGAATCAAGCTCGTTTGAGAGTTCTTAAAGCAAGAGAAGAACATGTCATGGTTAGTTGTTCAGTATATATTTAATGTAATTAAATATTTTATTTTATAAGAAGTAAATACATATTTCATATTTTTGCTTGATAGTTTTTAAATATAGGACTTTTTTATATAGACTGTTTTAGATGAAGCTCGCAAACGTTTACATGAAATTGTCAAAGATCAGTCAAAATATCAAGAGATATTACGAAGATTAATTATACAGGTAAGTTAATTTTATTATTAATTTTCTGATATGTAAAACTATATATGAAATAAGATTAATTTTTCATGTGATTTATTTTTTTTCTGCTATTTGGGTTGCAGAAATATCCAGAAAGTGCAGAAATATCCACAATTTTTTGGATTTTTGTTTTTATTAATTTAAAATTAGTCAATAATATTTTATATAACATATTATATTTTTGTAGTATATTCATTAAACATTTTAAATGTTAATGTATAAAATTTAATAAATTTTTGTGAAAAATTTTGAATTGAACATAATAGTGAGGTTGCAGCGACGTTTTCAATGCGAAAATGTGTACGTCGGACATTCAGTGCTGCCTTTCTGTAAGCCTAGAAGTTTGATAATGGCATTTGGAATGACGAGCATGATTCTACTGATGTTCCAAATGTCATTGTAAAACTTCTAGGCTTACAGGGAGGTGGCGCTGAATGTCTGACATTCACATTTTTGTGTTGAAAATTTTGGCTGCAACCTCTCTAATATACCTGGTTTAACCCTCTGCCACAATACAAACAAAACATGAATCTATCCTTTCATATTAAAATGAATTATAAATAAAACTCACAAACAACATCTGTGGCTGTGATAATTCCTAGAAAATTAAGGCATTTAGTTGTGAAAACTGTTACATCACTAATGTTTTCTGTCCACAGTTCTTTCTCAGGTAGACCTTCCTAAAAAATTGAATCTTTCTGATATTAGCATTCTACCTTGGAATGTACATAAGACTCCAATGTATTCAAATTCAAATGTTTTTTTTTTAAAAAAACTTTTCTTTTGTTATCCAATCAGGTGTGCCTACGTTGTTTGCTATAATGTCTAGTTGAATGTAGTTTGAGATGCCTCTGAGATTTGTTTTTCATCTTTCAAATTGATAGCTAGGCTTTGGAGGTTTGCTTTAAACAATGCTTCTAAATTTTTAAGTTAGTTATTACAGCACATTTGTCTTATTAGGGTAGCCTGTTGCGGATCTGGCTTAATCTTGTTATCACTGGCATATATAACCAAGGCAGTAGTTTTTTTCTTCTTTTCTATATCTGCTTTGTGTTGAAGACACTGCTTGAGAAACCTTTTTGTAGATCCAATGTATCAACAAGAGGTATCGTTCATATAGGGATCTGAATTTTGGGCATTCTTTTTTTTTTCCTTTCCTCTTCAGGCTAATTTTTTAAGTTCTTATTTAACATTACATTCAATATAGTATTTTATAGTATTATAATTTACATAGCATTATTTCTGTCTTTTTATTTGTTTTCTCATATGACATTTAATCAAGACAAATTACCTAACTTCACTGCCTGTAACCGGTGTTCTTCTCCAATACGAAGGACTTTGCAAACGTTTTCAAACCTAATTTGGTTCTTCTTCAGGTGCTACGGAATTCTCTATATGAATTCGAATTTCCAGTTTAGAATTAACCGTTATTTTAGAAAATCTTTCTGGAATGTTGTCACGTGTTACTGATGGCGTCATTGTAGACTTGCGCATTATCCGTATGTTGTTACTATGACGCCAAGTCTACAATGACGCCATCGGTAACATGTGACAACATTCCAGAAAGATTTTCCAAAATAACGGTTAATTCTAAACTGGAAATTCGAATTCATATAGAGAATTCCGTAGCGCCTGAAGAAGAACCAAATTAGGTTCGAAAACGTTTGCAAAGTCCTTCGTATTGGAGAAGAACACCGGTTACAGGCAGTGAAGTTAGGTAATTTATCAATTACGGTGTTATAATTTCTATATAGTTTAATCAAGACAGTTAAGAAAGTTAAAATACATATAAAGTTCCATAAAAGTTAAAATACAAATCAAATTACTAAAATGTCTTGCAGTTTTTTAAAATTTCTGTTGTAAACGATAGTATATGGTTACTACTGTAAATGTAATATACAAAAAGAATTGGCTATATGGCGATTTAACGTGCGTCTATGGCTAATTGCCTTGTTTTTAAAGCACAAGGCAGTTAGCCATAAAGACACATGTTCAATAGCATGTTCATAGAGAATGTGCTACAAAGTAGTTTAAAGACTATTAAATTTTAAGTAAAAATAATAAGTTTACATGGCCAACGATTATTTAATATTAATATAATAAATATAAATACAACTTTTTTTACAAAGAAAAATTCTTTGTTTTAGTCATTGGTGCGAACAACAAAAAAATGACTGAAACAAAGAATTTTTCTTTGTAAAAAAGTTGTATTTATATTTATTATATTAATAAATTAAACTTTGCTAGGTCTTACTTTTGGGGGAAGCCTTATATGCTAGGTCTTATTTTCAGAGGATGTTTTATTTTCGGGGAAACA